TTATATTCTTGGTCATATGAGGTGACTGATTTAGTAGGTGGTGTATCAACAACAACTCGAATGTCCCTTGGCTTTTTGTGGTTGTTTATTCAGCCCTAGTAGGGAACATAAAGGGGACAAGAATGGGGAATATCTTGGTTGATGTTGTGTTGGGATAATGAGGGATATTTGGCCTGGGATTTATAAAAAAAGGATAGAAGGTTTTATTTGTTTATTAAAAGGTTTAAAAGAAAGAAAATAACAACAAACAAAGGTTGTGGTTTACACACTCTTATTTTCGGCCAGGGCCTAAAATAGGAGTAGGAAAACTTTATTTTGAAAAGGAAATATTTTGGATGTTTAGGGAAGGTATGGAGAGTGTGGGCTCAGCCTAGGGTGGGTGTAGGACAACCATGGTGTTGGGTTGGGTTCTAAGACAGGAAAATGGAGAAGTTTCAACCCAATTAATGTCACCACACTTGGGCTTTATTCCCCTGATCTGTCTTTCCCTTGGCGGGCTACGGAGAGTCTTCGGGCATGCTCCCGGATATATATCACTCATGATAAGTAGCAGTAGCACATTTTACTTGCTTACCAAGTTCCAATGAAATACGAGGTGCGGAGTATATTTTTACCTCCTATTTCTTAGCATCATACACTACTACCCTATTTCTCACTCTGCTAGATGTAATTCATTTCTACTGTGCCTTAAATGCCATTTTAGCACAAGTGTTACAAATTTTGTGCTTGATTTTTCATTTTAAAAAGATTACCTCAATGCTCTTTAATTGATTAAAGGTCACACACACACACAACCTTCATCCCCAAATTTCTTTGCGAACAGTGGGAGTAGTAACTTTTGATGCATTTTGCTTAATTTTCCTTCCATTGTGACTTTTGGTAAACAAATAGTCAGAGAAGATGTTTTAATGGGTCTTCCATGTGACTTTTATAAACTCAGGTTACCCCTCGCCTAGAAGAGCTACAGCTTTTTAGGCTGCAACAGGAGAGCAAAAATGCACAGAGAGAGACTGTTGTTGCTCAGAAGGGAACTCATGAAAAGAGAAAAGCACTCCCAGATGGAGATGAAAAGCCTGCAGCAAAACGTCGCAAGGAGAAGGCAAAGAATTCCAACACAACAGAGGAAAAGGAAAATACTCAAAATACAAACCTGGTTGGTGCAACTAAGATGGACGTGGTAGTGGAAGAAACACAACCTGCAAATGCAAGCAAGAAAGACAAAGAAGACATTTCCTCTGGAAAGCCAAAACATTACACGGACCAGTGCACTGCATTTATATCTAACCTTAGCCCCAAGGTGAGTTGCCTGTTTGTGATTCTTTTTGAGAAGTTCTCCAACCTAGCACTTGCAGGAGAAACAGACAATCATCTACACTGGGTTGGGACTTGAGAACTCATTTGCTAAAGTTTACTTGATCAGGCGAAATATGAAGATCTACAGAAGTTCTTCAGTGACGTTGGAGGAGTTGTTGCCATACGAATATTAACAGACAAATTCACTGGAAAATCAAGAGTACCATTCACTTTCTCTCATTCACTCCCCCTTCCCTCTATTTTTTTTGGCAGACTCTTTAAGCACACCTCAACTGTTTAAAAATGGAGAGAAGAAAATACATTGTTATGATATGATACATTGTTTGTAGTTTGTACATTTCACTCTTTTTGTTCTCACTAGAAATCCATTTACTGCCTGGCAGACAAAACATGGGGAGGTTTTTTTATATAGTTTTTTTCTTCTAACATTTTGCATTGGAGGAGCTCCACTTTTAAAATGTTAACTTTCGAGTGTAAAAGAAGTGCACATGATTATGTTGTAGAGTCTTCCTTTCCTGGTGATGTGGCTCTTTGTTGCCAGGTTGAGCAATTTTTTCATTGACCTTAATAGCATGTAGTGTTATCAAATAAATTTCTAGTTTAAACTTACAAAACACATGCATTTGACAACATTATATTCATAACATCTCACTAAACTACTGGTAGACATATATTTGATTGTGGTACATTATTGCATGCCATTATGGTCTACCAAACTACACCTTATTTCTATTACAGTGCATACCAATACCATTATCTTCTTTTGGTTTTGTGATGCCTCTATTTTGTCTTCTTTTCAAAACAGTGTTGCTTGGGTTTCATGGTTTTGTGATTATGGCTGTATATTATTTTTATATATTATGGCTTGCAGCCTTGGCATTCTGCAGTTTCTAATTTTTCAGAGTCTACACTTTTATAGGGACTGGCCTATGTGGATTTTTGTGATGATGAACACCTTGCCGCAGCTCTGGCAAAGAACAAGCATACACTGCATGGGAAGAGTCTTAGCATTCTGAAGTCAGATCCTCAGCAGAAGAGAGGGAAACGACTGCCACCAAAACATGGTATGGTGATAATAAAACCTAAATTCAAATGCTTCCTCTATTCATTAAAAAGAACAAAATGTTTTCCTGGATATGATGCATCTATAAATTTTTGATCATGTACTATAGTTTCCATGTGACATAGGCTTTATTTTGGAAGTGGAAAATGGTAGTTTAAGGAGAAAGTACTAGTACCAAGGTCCAAGGAGAATAGTTTTTTTTTAAAAAAAAGTTTGGTTGCACCTTGGAATATATAAAGGAAAATCAAATTTGATTTTGACTTAGGTCCCGTTTGGCATCAGTGTTAGAGATTAGCGTTAGCGTTTTGAAAAGGCTATCCGACGGAAGCCTTTAGCTTTAGGTTTTTAGAATTAATCTACACCATTAAAATTTTATACAAATCGCTAACGCTAATCGAAAACGCTCTTCCCAAACAGGGCCTTAAACTATATTACCTGTAATTATATCTCTCGGTCTTTGTTATAATAGGAAGATACTAGGACTCCAGAGTATGAAATAAACATCTGAAGTGGATTTATTGGTCTTTTCTCCAAAAATCCCCTCAATTGCCTCCAATTTATTTCCTTGATTCCTTGTAAATTCTCAGGCTTGATCTTGAGAAATACGCAGTACAGTGTGTGTGTGTGTGTATAGCCATTTATGGATCTTCATTTTCTCTTATAATAGTAAATACTTTTCTGGCAGGTGCTTCTGGCAGTAAAGACTCAAAGGCAGATTCCAAGGATGGCAGTGAAGCTCCAAAACAGAGTCAAGGGCCTAAAAGAAATCCCTCGGTCCATACTGAGGGAGACAATATCCAGCTGAAGGGTAAAAACGTCTTTGCAATGCCGAGAGCCGTTCTGAAAAGTAAACCGAAACAGGAGCAGGTAACTGAGGGAGGAGACGAAGAGAACCCTAAATCAAACGATGAGTTCCGCAAAATGCTCCTGAAATCTTGAAATCCCCAAAATGCCCCCTGAATGCTACTGGTACCAAGGAAGGTGGGGGGCTGATTGATAGAGCATGGTTTTTATGCTGATCATCTGAGCTTTTGTTTTACTAAACATTCACTTGTTTGACTGCATATTTCGTCTCTAATTAAATTTAGTTGTATGTTCAAATCGCATTATGTGAGCTCTTGTTTTGTTCGCCTTAATTATACTACATCAGTTCCAAAATAATAAAAAAGAAAGTTCGGTTTACGATAATTGGTTGGAATTATTTTTAATTCAACTTATCTCAAAATTGGTATATAAGTATAAAAATAAAAATTACATATTTTAAAAGTATATCAAAAGATCTACAATAAATCAAAAAAGCAATGTAAATATATTATTTTATTATATGAGTAATGAAAAGAGTCCAAATAAAGTGGATAATGTTTGGTCATGTAACCTCTACTTGTTATTTGAATAGTGTTTATTCTTTGTATTTTGCAGTTTAGAATCTGGTAATTAGAGTTTGTAGTATAGTATTTTTTTCTGTCTCAAATTAAATTGCATGCTTATTCACATGGTCAAATTTTATTCACTTTTTTTTTATATTTTCATTAGTCATTTGATAAAATAATATAATCATGTCACCACTAATTTTGTGGATTTTTTAAAGTGTTTTAAGTATGTACTTTTTATTTTTTAATTATACACAATTTTTTCTATATAATGATAAGAAAATAATTGCAATCAGACATCGTAAACCAAAACAAGTGATTTAAATTGGGGCGGAGGGAGTATTTTGTTATGGAGATAACTTTAACTAAAATTTTGGGATTAGAGTTTGATAATTGAAAGTGTGCCATTTTGGGAAAAAAGTCGGCCTTGGTGGAAGCCATAAATTAGACAAAGAGGAGTGTCTTAGATTGCTAGGTTTAGATTAACTAATCCAAACTAAATGACACAATTTTTAGGTTTAGATAAAAGTCTTAGATTATTGGAGTACAATGCTAAGCTAATAAAGGGTGCACATTATTATCTTTTGCCAGTACAACATTTTGAGTCTTTGAGAATCAATGTGCAGTTGACCAAATCACAGTTTTTGTGTGTTGTCCTGCAAACCATATGATATCTTTTTTTTTTTTTTTTTTGCACTTGAGATCTCCTCAAGATACACTTTTATCTGAATCAAATATATATTGCTATACAGACTGTACTGTACAGTACTATAATTTTGCTGTAAAAATCTCTTTATGTAGTCATAAACTTTAATTGATGAGAATAAGTATGCTGTTTAACTCAAAATCAATGCAAGTGTGTACTTTTATTTCCATTTTTTTCACAGGGAGGATATAGCTTAGTTGGTCAATAGGAAGTAATTCTCGGGTTCGACTCAAGGCAATGACGATGAAGGATGATCATGTGTAATCAGGTCCTTGCATGTACTATCCACAAACGGCACTCATATATTGATCAGTCTAAGATTAAAACTGAATTTACTTAGGTAGTGTTCGGCAACTAACATTTCATTTCAATTCATGCATTTCAATTCCAAAATTTGAAATCTTAAATTTCAAATGACAAGGGGAGGTGCATGAATTTTAAATTAAGCGTTGTTATGAATGAGGAGAATTTGACTCAAATCCAAATTCAAAATTTTTAAGTTTTCCAAACATGGAATTTGAGCCAAATCCGGATTTGAAATCCAAATCCATGTTCCCAAACATACCATTATTTATTTCCTCCCAAGTTACTGCCCGGACCGATTCTCTCTTTTTTCCCTACTATGTTTCATCTTATTCCCTTCGTTACTTTTGAATCCTCTCATTTGACTTTTCAAAATCTTCAATCCAATACATTGATCCTCAATATCTTTATTTGTATAAAGATACCTAGGAGTATATATCATAAATATGTAATATTTTAAAACTATGTCTCAAAATGAACTTATTGATGCTTCCTTCATTCTATAATATTTGCCACATTACGCAAAACAAAGCAAATTTTCAAATTTTTTTCAATTCATTATATTTAAAGATTGATATAGAAATAAAAAATAAAATTTACATATTTAAAAACTACGTTAAAAGTTCTTCAAAAAAAAAGAGGTAACAATGATATTTTACAAACTAACTCAAAGTTCTTTCAAAACCTATAATTTAAACAAAGTTTTCGTGATTTATAAATACTAAACTGTACAAAAAAAATGGGACGAAAGAAATGTTAAATTTATATCAGAATTGAATGCATTCATTTGTAGTTAAAAAAGTCGGCATTTTTCATATAAAATTTTGACTAAGGGAGTACTTCCTCCGTCCACAAATAAACTTCTTGTTCACTATTCACATGTTCAAATTAAATTTTATTCACTTTGGTGGCCTATTTTCGTCACTCATTTGATAAAATAATGTAGTCATGTCACTTGTAGTTTTGTAGATCTTTTGATATAGTTTTTTTAATATGTACGGAGTAATTTTTATATTTAAAATTTACACTATTTTTCATATAAAATGATTTGAAAATAGTTTCAGTCAAACATCGTAACGCGCAACGAAAAATTTATTTGTGGATGGAGTGAGTATTATGTAACTAGTCTCTCTAGTCTCATCCATCATTTCAATGTAATGTCAATGCAAAAAAAATACTCAGTAGTATGTTGGTGAAGCATGGGGTGAGGGACTATTATGATAACAAAACATTTGTTTGGCATGAAAAGAAAAGAAGACAAATTGGCGCGGGAATTTTGTTCTAACACTTTTAACATACACAAAAAAAAGTGAAATGATGATTGGAACTTTGGAGTGTGGAATAGGAGAAGATGCACTTCTTTAATTTGTTTGTCAAATTAGAGATGATGACATCATAGACAACTCTCCCAACCAAACAAACCTCTTAAAAGGTTGTCTTGGGGTTATTAGGACTAAATATATTTGTCTCATTAATTTAATTAGTGGCTCAAAAGTTAACTCAAAGAGTTGGTTTTTGAGGTTGGGCCATTTTTTGAAATGTTGGTTTTTAATCTCACCTATACATTTTTGTTGGGGGATTTTTGGTGCTAAGAACTCGTCTCGAAGATCAAATTGATTACAGTTTTCGATCAATGGAGCATTCTCAAACTCGCCGTTGAGATCACTATGAGTCCCAATAACTTTAAGAGATTTCTAGGGTCTAGAGTCGATGTAAAATTACACTTTTAATCTTCAATTGAACAACACCAACATAACGGAAAGTCAAATAAAAAACTGCGCGTGATAAATAAGACTTATTGGTAATAAGACTAAATATCAATTTACTCATTACATACCAAAACATTCTCTCTCTCTCTCTCCACTTTTTTTCCCTCACTACTACTAATAAGCTTAGTCCATCTTCACTAGCTAGCAGCAAGACCCAAACTCCCT